TATATATATATATGTTACGTTATTTCCTGAGCAGTGGAGCAAGCACCGATTTATAGAAAAGGTACAAAGACGAAACCTTTAAATTATCGTCCTATAAGTTTAACGTCAGTAATGCTTAAATCCATGCAAACATTTATCAAGAATGCAATTTTGAAACATATGTAGGATTTTGTAGAACATTTTTTTCTGTAATGAGCAACATGGGTATATATCCAGTAATACGCAATGACTTGAAACCATTGATATAGTCGTCTCTTCAGGGGTGGCGCCAGGATTTGCCCTACGGGGGGAGGGCGTGGTCCCCGATTGGGTGGGGCAGTCCAACGGGCGTGGGCGTGGTCGAGCTTCGAGTAAAAGGTTTCAAAAGTGGTCCAGGGGGGCGAAGTCCCCGAAAATTGTGATAATTTGGGGGTTTCAAAGGCTTATTTAATCGATTTTAGAGTCTACTAATATGAAAAAAATACATATAATTTTTTTTCTCCCCGACGAAATCTGCTTTTTCTCCCCGATGCGGGGGAAACTCTCCCCGACGGGGAACCCGCCCCCTCCCGCTGGCGCCACCCCTGCGCCTAAAGGGCATCCTGTTGATATTTCTCAGAGCGATTTTCAGAAAGCCTTCGATTCAGTCAGTAGTGGCGCCCCTACCCCCTCTCCCCAACCGGGCAGAGCTCCCCCCACCCCATAGAAAAACCACAATTAGTTGGGGAGGAAAAAAAATGTATGATTTCTATGAAACTTCATCGTTAGCCTTTCCACGAGGTCTTGTCTGGTTGAAATCTTTAGAATTGTCTATGGATATGATATTTCCAGGGTATTTTTCGAATTTGTGTCACATTCTTCAACCAGGGGCCATAATTTTAAAATTAAGAAAGTTCACTGTAGACCTAATCATCATCAAAAGTGTTTCTCATTAGCTATATAGAAAATGATTTGAACACCCTCTTCCATAATTAATTTTAAAAGCCATCTTGAAACACACTGGCAAAACCATCTTGAATTTCGAAATCTACCAAGGTGAATGTTGGAGAGACTCACAAACCTTAACAGGTTTCCGGGAAGGTCAAGGTAATCAAGTTAACTATACACCTAGCGTACAGGGGTGTATCCAGGATTTTTTGTGGGTGGGTCGTGATCTTAATTTTTTTTTACCTTTTCACAATGAAATAACAGCAAGTTGTGATTGAAATGTCAATACAATTTTGTTTAATAAAATAGAAATTGCTGCCGAATTGACATACTGACGACGTTCATTCCTTGGTGAAAAACATTATAGGCACTGGTACCTATGAGCAGTTTAAAGTGTTATTAATTTTAATAAAGGGCAGAAAATCGCATGAATTGGCCTACCATTAGAACAACTTTTGTGACTCTAATAATATAGGCAAAGTTATACCTAATCCCAGTCCTTATCTGAGACCGCAGCGCCAATGAGGATATGCCACCTATACCTTACATATAAAAATATTAACAATACATTACAAAAAGGAAAACGAATAAAATTACGAAATACAATAGGTAAAAACATTAAAATTGGCTTACAGTAATGCGATAAAAAATACAGTAATGTGATTTTTTTTAAATCGAAAAAAATGTGTATATATATATATATATATATATATATATATATATATATAGAATAAGTTAATTATAAATGTTACATATTATGTTTTTGTGAATATGAATTTATTATAATTGACATTTTAAAATATTTATAACAATTATTATTTTGATTAATCACATTAAAAAGTTGTGAAAAAGGGCACCTTATTGAGAGTTGATTAATTGAACAATAATAGGAATTTCGGTGTCTTTATTGTAGTCAGATTCCTTTGGGATATGCCCGAAATGTATTCGTCTGGGTTGCTTTTCAGAATGCACGTACCACTTCCTCTACATCAACCTCTCGTAGTGTAGGCCTATATGAATGAGGGCTAAACTAGACAATCTTTTCTGCGTCATGGAACAACGGTTATTAGAGTTTAGCCCAGTGATGGCGCCAGGACCTGCCCGACGCAGGGGCTAAAGGCCCCGACGGGGGGGCCAGTGGAGCGAAACGAGTCTCACTTGGCTGGGGGACAGGGGGGCTGCTTAGGGCCCCGGTGGGGTTCGAGGGGGCAATCCCCCTGGAAGCCACGGATATTTGACGAATTATGGCGAATTTTTATTACTTATTTGAATGATATAATATGACTTCATGTAGGCTATGTTTTCTAATATCAGTTTCAAAAACCAAAACATTTTGAATAAAGCAAGAAACAAAGATTATGCAATGTAACCATCTAATTTATTTTCAAATCCTCATTCTTGAAAGTGAAATTCTACATTTTGGAAATTTTGCATGAAATCTGTTAACCACGCTGTCAAGGTCGAGGTTGCTTCCCCTATCACGATGTATTCCAAGCATCATGAGGCTATCCAAGCCCCACTTTTCCCCCTAGTCCTCGGACATTTCTAGATTCGCCCCTGTTGAGGATAGAAATTATTTACTGTGAACAATACATTGGGCGTCCCGGATAGTTAGTCTCTCACTGCACTTGACGTAATCTCTGTATTTAGTGACAATCAAACTGTCCAACGAAAGATGAATACACCTATTAAATTTTCCTTGACTAGTACTCATGGAGCGTGTCGATTGTATTTATTAAAGAAAAAGTACGGTACCTGCTATTCCTGGGTTGGTAGCGTTGCACCTGATTGATTCCTTTCAAAGGTAGTACCACGGTACTGACATTCCTGCAGTTTATAATCTGTGTGATTTTGTGTAGACAACCAAAGGGTACACGACGTTATTATGCTATAGGTATGGAAGCCATCAAATCTATTATATTATGTATTCTGTTGGCTTTGATAGTATCTATCCCAGTAGGTAAGTTACTACATTTGATATAAGTTTTATTCTAATAAGTAGATTTGTCTAGATTCTAACCATTTGTTAATTATTGCTAGTTTATCTTTATTAAAACGTCATTAAAGTCATACTTAAGACTATAATGTACTCATTATAATTATTTCAAACACTGTTATGCGTATAAATAGCATACCAAGACACACCTACGCATTTTCTCTTCATTATTATTTGTAATTATATACACGGTGTATAGTATATATATATTAATCTAAATATAGACAGTTGAATATTTCATTTAATTTATAATACTATATAGTTAATACATAACACTTAATGTTTTAATAACGGTGCTCAGATAGAAACATAAGATATCCCAATCGTACTACGCATATCCCTGCAACGAAGAGTTCTTTTTTTCAGTTGTAAAAAACAGGTGTCTCTGAGATCAAACCTTGTCTCTTATACACATCTAGATGTGTATAAGAGACAGTCTAATAACACAGCATCTGTGTGTTACATAATCCTTTGAAAGAAAGACTGCATTAGCAATATCTGATTAAATATTTAATTTGACTGGTGGTTGTCTTATACGCTAATAAATATAACTGGAGATAATTGATGAGGAATTTCACACAGCAAACTCAGTAACAATCTAGGAGCTTCTCCATTCACTAGGTGGGAGCTGAAGAAGTCCATTAGAAGTTGTGGGTTAGGGGATGGTGGGATATTCAATGTCTTAGATAGGAATGTAAATGGTAGGGGGCAAGTGGAACCCAGATTCGATTAAAAGAGCCCTCAGAGGCTCCAACAATGTATGGGATGTGAAAGCTTAAATTGATTCTTGAGTCTCCTAATCTGTAAATATTAATTTCTTTTTACCCCATCAAAATATGTTGAGGTCACACTGATGGGAACCATGGCCCAAAGCCCAGTCTAGACTATGAAATTTTATTTGACAAAAACATATAAAAAGACTAAATATGGTCATGATGACATCACACCATAACCATATACAGGCACAACATGACTATATATGGGCATACAACAAGGTTTTTGTCAAAAAAAATTTGATGTGGACAGAGCATGCTCAGAGTGGGCATGCTACTACAGTAGATTTTAAAAATAAAAATTAAACCAAATCAAATACCACTTGTGCAGCAATAGCACACTTTGCAAATCCTATTCTGGTCTTCCAACGTAGCTGTCTCTTATACACATCTAGATGGGTATAAGAGACAGTATATATATATATTGCTGCGTAGCACTGTGGTAGGCCACATATAAATAATTAAATAATGATAGAAACCGTACTCGATATTCTATAGACCTATTATCATGGCACAATAAAAAGATAAATTCTCAACTGTCTTACTAAACTTTGAACGTTCAACATGAATCTGTGAGTGTAAAAAAGTGTATAGGAATAAGTTTGTCCGATTGAATGTTTTACACTGAATTGGTCGTTTCCGCATAAGCCTACTTGAAAAGTAGACATTGTGCATAAATTTCCTTTGAAGAGAATACAAAGTTAATAATGATGACAATGGTAGTGATGATGAAATTATGATCATGATGATCCACGAGGAACTATGACGACGAATATAATAATTATGATGTTGAAGACGATGATAATAATGATGATGCCAATGATGCTAATGATAAAAAAGGGATAATGATAATAATGATGAGGATGATGATAATTTTATGATGAAATGGTGATGCATGATGACAGAATAACGGTATGATATTTAAACTTGAATCATAATGATAGTGGTGGTGCCACCTCCGATTGAATATTTAGTATGAAGTATGCTAACTGATCAACTTCGAACAATTAGGAGAAATTAGAATCATAAATGGCAATATAATTGACTTTATGGTGTTATTAGAAAATTGTTTAGTACTCATTCGTAGCAAGACTAATGATAATATTATACTTCTAAGAGCCAGTTTTTAACGACTGCCAATTATTTTCGTTAACACTTGTCAGATTTAGGATGGTTAATTAAAATAGCGAAAGATGTGTTTTTGAATTTACAGGTGGTACATTGTAATACTCATCGATCTAAAGTAGAATATTATTTTTAGTTAGATTATAAATTCAATCACAGTATTTAATCTGGTTTAATATTAACTTGGTTCATATTGAATTAAGAAAACAGGTTATTGAATGCTTATGTCGTATGTTTAATATCAAATCAACAAGTTTATATTATTTAGGATTTTTGGCACAATGACATCAAATTTAGCAGATGTGCTGCCCACCTGTTTAACAAGTCCATCCCGATGAATAACAAACAGGGACCAAATAGACCAATACAATATTTATTTAATACCATCTTGAACCATTATCGATTTTGTGTGCAGTAATTAGTGTAGACTATATTTTAATATTACTACTTTCGCTGCATTTATAGTATAAATTAATTTTAAATGAATTGTTCTTGTGTCTCTAAACTGTACGACGCCTTTAAAGCTGAAGCACTGATTACAGGCCTACTTTGGAAAAGCGTGAATAAGTCGAATTGACTACCGTATGAGTTCGAAAACAAGCTCGTTTGAGGACAATGCTATTAGTCTATACGGTATCCCCAGCAAACACAAAACGTTATTATGTTAGCTGAAGTGGTACTGTACACTCTTTATCTTTAGTAGAAATAGGACCAACATGTTGTCTTTCGTTGTTACTTTCATCATATAGTTAATTACGGTATGCTACAATACAATACAAAAAAAAAGTAAAATAATACAAATTAACATTATAGCTCAGTGGATATAGTGCAACCGACTCTCTTTTTTTGGAATCGTTCTTCTCTAATTTTTTGAATATAGGCCTAAGAGGGGCACAGACAACACGAGTAGGCCTACTCCACGAATCTAACCAACCAACGTAAGGCCGTCCCGATGCTCTAACTTTTAATGAGTGACCTGTTTGTTCTATAATATAACTAAAGCAGATTGAGGAAGTTTGTACTGACAGTAGTCGCTCATGCACAATACCTTTGCATAATAAAGCTTTGCACACGCTGTGGCGGCCGACTAGTTCGTCCTCATTTTATGTGAGCGCTTTTTCCGCCGCAACGTTAACGCTGATCGTCAGCGATCTGAGCAGATCGTCTGAAAACGATTCTCGTCGGTTGCCGACGTAATGAGTGCTGGGCTTTCTCCTCCCCTGCTTGAATTAAATTACAGTATTGTTTTTAAATCGGAAAATGTTATCCCCATCCAAATCTAGAACCTTAGCTGGATTAATACCAAATAACAACAAATTTGTTATGGTACATCACTATTCAGTAAGATGTAAGATATACAAACTTGTTTTTGAAACAGTAGGTAATTTTATTTAGTGTGTTATCCAACTCAGTATGTGTTACTTACTGTTGAACACACTATTTATTTTCAAGTGTAGCGTTAAATACTTCGGAATTTTATTTTAAAATTTGAAAAGGTCAAATCAATAAGTTTATTCAAAAGCTTATATAATTTGTTCTTATCGACTTTCATGTGGCCGCCTTGATTATTGAAGTAACATATCTGATTAGATCCTAAATGGGCAAATTTCAATGTATACTTTAGAAATTTGGCCGATTTGCACTTACCTTGCTGCGTAAAAGTTGTTTTTTTTGTAATGGCATTTACAATTTCAAATTATAAATAGTCCTATTTAAAAAGTAGTACTTGACAGACATAAAACGATTAATCCGTATAATCTCTATTCAGCAAAAACCCTCCTTATTATGTATAAAGTTTAAAGATCACTAACTAAAATTTTTCAAAGGTTAAAATTTTTAAAATTTAACAAGTCATGGTGACAAGACTAATTTTTGAACAGCAGTGACACAAACAAACTTAAATCTTTAAAATCCTCACCAATTCAAGAAAAACTTTAAATTAAAGATTGATATATTCTAAACTTTAAATTGCAGTGTTGAAGTGCTCAATGTTTTGCTGTACCTGTAGCCCTGGTCGGGAAGGAAAAAAAACAATTCGTTGGGAAAGTGTTTGCATACAATGTGTTATACCGTATTTTGTAGACCTACTTACCCATTTGTATACATTGGGTGCTGACTATAAACACATTTTTGCTTGGTAAGCCATGATACATAAATGAAAGACAGAATCTTAGAGTCTAATCTTTTTGGGTATTATTTTAATAGAAAACTCATTGTTAGCGCCGCCCTTTACTGATTTGTAAGGAAACATTGCTCAACTTATGGGATGCCACTCTCAATCGTTGTCTTTTTGTTAATGTTAGTTTTTAAATTTCTTTTTTAATTGAAATTTTATTGAATTATTAATTCAAATTCTCTTGGCACACATTAGTTTTTTAATTTCTTTTTTAATTGAAATTTTATTGAATTATTAATTCAAATTCTCTTGGCAACACATAAACCACCAAAAAAAAAAACCCAAAAAACCCCCCAAAACAAACAAACAAACAAAAAAAACAACAATTAAATACCAATGACTAGCATGTAAAATACACCTCTGAAACAGCCAATCCCCTTTTGCACATAGCAAGCTAAAGAAAATAATAATAAAGAAAAAAGCAAAATATAAGGAATCATTCACAAAATTGATTAAAGCAACCTGCTCACATATTAGAACCTGCATCTCACCCGCTAATCAACCCAAACAATTCCCGTAAGTCACTTTTATGTAAGGGTCTACTTAAAAAAATTAACCACGAAAAGGTTGCACCTAGCTGAAACAGCCTGAACCACTTCAGAGTCCGAGCAACAAACGCATATTTTGTGACAGAAGCATGACATTTTGAGCGTTTCATTTATAAGGCGTGCAGACAACAAAAACAGTGGAAGAGTCATTTTCTAAACGTCTGGGCGGGGTTATCAAAGGTTGTAGGAGGAGTATATTATGTGTCAAAGGTTATGTCATTTTCGGAAAATATATCTTATTGGAAGAAATAAAAACATGCATATAGGCCTAATGAATATTTTGAAAGGATATGAACTCACGACCAGCGGTTGTCAAGATACGGATGCCCTACATAATATTTTCCCAACTAATTTGTACTATAATAAACATATTATATGGGGCATGTGATGGAGGTATAATTTTTAGAATTCACTTCCGTCAAGTTTTCAAAACGTTTTTAAACACATTTGTTTGTAACTATGATTATTGCAAAAAAATATGGCGACTATTTTGAAATTTCGAGCTTAATCGAGCGGGATGCCATGAACAACGGAGATTCAAACATTTTGCTAACTACATGTCCATTACATTATAGGCCTGTCATGTTTTCCAGCATTCGACTTTAAGTAACCTTTGACTTGGAATAACCTAAAAAATGTCACATCTGGCTGAGACAACTATACAAGCAGGCCCGGGGGGGGGGGGGGGGGGGGGGGGGGGCGACACGCACACGCACCCCTCCACAAATTAACAAAGTCCACATTTTCGAGGGTAGAAAATTAAAAAATAACCACCCCCCATAATTTGGCAAAATTATTTTTAAAAAGAAAAGAAATTTATATTCTGGGAGTGCCATCTCCGGCCATCTAGAAAAATCATAATCATGATTTTTCTTACGTCAGCCCCAACCATGGTGGGGCTGTAGTGTTATCAACTCTCAATCAATGCCGTACGTTAGTAGCCAAGATTTTTAAACATTGCGGGACAATATCAGGTTGGGCCCACTTTACACGTAAATTCAAATAATTTGGACCCAGTTTCTTAAAAATTGACCAATTTTACGCAAAAATATAACAAATCTGGACACATTTTATTAAAATTTTACTCATTTTAGGCTAAATAAAAGAAATCTGTACCCATTTTTCATAAAGTGGACTCATTTTATGCATGAAATTGCTCCATCTGTAAAGTCATGGACCCCGGCCTTCTTAAAATTTCTAGATCCGCCACTGAAAACAGGCCCTACGAAAGAAGGAAACCTGGCTCTTATACACATCTAGATGTGTATAAGAGACAGCCTCTATACGCCACTGCATCACATTTAAATAATAAACCATTTTTGGAGCATGCATAATGATTTAGGCCACCTGTCACGCCCAAACTGGTCCGGGCCAAAAATGGTCCGGCGGACAGATTTTTGACCGCCAAAGTTGGTCCGCCGGACTACTTTTGGCCCCTAAAATCAGCCCACCGGGTCGATTTTAGCCGCTAAAATTGGTCCCCCTTAGATAAAATTGGTCCTTCAGCCTGGCCGCTCGCGTCTGCTGCCGGTAGGGTATGATTGTTTCTGCCGTGAAGTGGAGGGAAGTAATAATTATGCTTCCCCCACCCTTGAAATATCTTTTGCAGTGACAGAATGATTCATATTTAGCTTTTGTGGACCCGTTGTGGACGTATTTTATCAAAAAAACATGATAATGCATTCCTAGGCTTAGGTGACACACCGGCATTTTCAGCGGCCGTCGTGCTCGGCCTAGGTTTTTTGAGCCAAAAATGAAACACAAATCTGATTTATTAGCTTTAAATATTCCATATTATTGTCTGTGGTATTAGGTCATACAATAGTTGTTCTATTACATAGAAATAAAAGGGGTAAATAACTTTTTTTAAAGTGATTGCTCATTATTCTACCATTTCGTTGCGGCGTTAACCAAGCACGCAACCAAAACAAAACAAGGTAAAAAATAAACTACAGCGGACTAACACGATTTACGATCATATCGTTTAAGTTCTTCTCTAACTTTTACACCTAAGAGTTTACTGGGCGTGAAGAGCGAAAATAACATACTAATTTTGGTGGCTGTAAGCTCAATTGCGCACACAACGAATGAAAAAATATTATATTATGAGATGAGATATTTATCTATCATTTGGTTAAAAACAAATTTGAACGACGCTAAAAGATACAGGTTATATACTAAATAGGCCTAGATGCCGGACTGATTTTTGCATATGTGGATTACATTTGGCAGGTACTTTTAAAAACAAAATCGGTCCGCCGGACCGATTTTGGCTCCGGACCAAATTTTTTCTGACAGGCTTATTAATAAAATCAATATTGGACCTCAATTAACCTTTAATGTTTAAAAATGGACTCTCACTTTTCTCACACTTCATAGATCTCCGTTCCGCAATCTATGGGTCGCAGAAATTTTGATGGGTCGATTTGATAGACAAAAAGTTAGGGCCAGAGCCTTTTACAGTTAAAAGAGAATTATTTCATTTTTGGGCCAAGAGGTCATGTTTTGTTGTTACATTTGTGGGCGTTATCACATTATATGTGAGCAACGATCTCTCTTACATTTGTGGGCGCTGACTGGTACATTCTTGTTGGCGCTCGCGCTGGTTCTTACATTTGTGGGATTATTACATTTGTGGACGGTGTGTTGTTACATTTGTGGTTGTTATTACATTTTTGGTCGTTTTCACTTTTGTGGGTTCAACAAACATTCCAACACTGACTCTGTCCTATAACTTTACATTATTTCATTATTTAGGCAGTCAAACCTGCGGCGGTACCGAAATTGCGTGCGACGATGGCACTTGTGTGCCATACACTGCCCGGTGTGATGGGTCATCAAACTGCAGCAACGCTTCAGATGAGTGGAACTGCGGTAAGTGTTACGTTTGTTAATTAGGCCTATTGTTACATTCAGACGAACTCGCACTGAACTGTAAGTCCTGCTAGCCCAAAGCGCAAGGTAGCAGCTTAGGCTACACTGAAGTACTTTTCAAAATTTTAATTCAGATTATAGATAAACTAGAAATTGCAAATTGCAAGTGAAGTGCTGCGAAGTACAACTGCATATAAATGTTCTTCGAACAAAATTATTTATGCGAGTCAAGTGAAAATAATGAATAATAAAAATATAACAAATAATATGATTGTCTATATTAGAACACTTCTCATTGGGTAACAAAGTCGTAATTTTTCATTTTTGTCAAAAGTGTCTATAATGGTGAATTATGGTTTAGGTTTTTTTTTAATAAAGTTTCAAAAATTTCTATGTATGTGGAAAATGTAGTTGATTACCAAAGGTTACAATTTTTATTTTGAAGACTGCATGGTCTAGGAAGTGTACATTTTTTATGGGGCAAGTTTCCAAGGGTGGGTTTTCTAGGGGCGAGTTGACTGCCAAAGAGTGTTGCCAAAGTGCGAGCCAGCGTGTTATTTGATCACAAGTGCGAGACATCGTAAGAGTGTGAGCCAGTGAGCCATGACGTCACGACAATAGATACGAGACGTTACTCGAGTTATGCGAGGTATCGGCTGAGATTTGTGGAGTACAATTCAAAAAACAACTATAGGTCTAATAATGAATTATTGTGATGTTAAATAGACAATGTTAGCTATTAAGGAGCGACGTTGTTTTTCATTGGGACCTTCGTCCCTTCAAGGCTAGGCCTATACCATCCTAGCTAGTCTAAGCCTAGAGTAGGATAAGGCGAGCACGACATGCGGACGTTGGTACGTGTTGGTTAGTCTACAAACGTCGCCTAAAGTAATTGATTTTACCCGGCAGAACGAAAGAAGGAAACTCCGCTTTTCAGTCCTCGTCTTAGGCCCTTGTTTTTTGACAAACAATGACCTTTCAGAGGTCTAATTGCTGTCAAGAATATGAATTGGCTGCTTCGCAGCAATTAATATGTGGAATTCCCCAAGGCTCTGTGTTGGGGCCACTATTATTTCTTATTTACAGTATGTTAATGATTTACATTTTGCCTGCCACAAGTTAAATATAATATCATTTGCTAATGACACAATCATTTATATTCAGACCCAGATATTACTAAGTCATTTAATTTACGTGAATAATCAATTTGAAAAAGTTGCCACCTGGTTTGATTCTAATAAATTAGTTTTAAGAAAACTTATTATATTTATTTAAACTGTATCAACGTGCATGTGAGGTTGGTAAATTAATGAAAATCAAAAACAATATTATGATGTAGGTCCAATAATTTATGTTTAGAGTTACTATAAATGAACATTTAAAATGGAAACCCCATTCATAGCCGGCGCAGCCGGGAGGTGGGTGCCCCCCCCCCACACTTTTTGACAGAAAAATATATAATGTCTCTTTGGAGATATTTGTATGATTGGAAAGAAATGCAAGAAAAGAAAGAGGGAAAAAGAAGGAGAGGGAGGGGAAAGGGAGTGTTTGTCCAGTTCCCGACCGAGTTACATTTTCACATTGGCGGATCTCTGGGGGGTCTGGGGTCCTGACCTCCCTCCCTTGGGCAAAAAATAAATAAATAAAAAGAATTCTAGACCTACCTTTGCAGGACTTTTTTTTTTTTACAATAAGAAAAAAGGAAGTTCGGAAAGCTCATTTCCCGGCATCTAAGAATTAAAATTTTCTCGGGGGAGGACCGCCAACCCCCTTTTATTTTTGGGGTTTATCGATTCATGAAAAAAAAACATATGTATGCAATGTATGTATACCTGTTCACACATAATAGGCCTATTTACTGTAATAAGAATGAGAAAAATTTACCTGTCTGTTTTCAAGGAGGAAAGCCTTAAATTTTAAAGAACTTAAAAGTCATTAAAAGACACTTCAGAAGTCGGGAAAGCTCATTTCCCTCCATTTAGATATCAACATTTTCGCGGGGAGAACCCGAACCCCCTTTCTCTTTGGGTTCATTCATAGAATCGTTTTCAAGAGGGGAAAAATTAAATTTTGAAAAACTTAAAAGGCATCAAAATGTTTTCCTGGGGAGAACCCCTGCACCCCTTTTCTCTTTGGGGTTTATCAATTCCTTGAAAAAAGAATACATACTACTACTCAATTTTTTTTTATGTATCCTATGTAGGCCTGCAGTATACACACATAACAGGCTTATTACTGTAGTATGAATGAGTGGGTTTACCTGGCCGTTTTCAAGAGGGGTAAAACATTAAATTTTGAGGAACTTAAAAGTGATTAAAAGACACCTACAGTAGCTGAAAATTAGGAAAGCTCATTTCCCGCCTTCTAGGAATCAAAATTTTCCCCGGGGGAGGACCCCCCAGATCCCCCTTCCTTTTAAGGATTTTTGGGAAAAATTTTGACCCCACCCCCTAATTTTGAACCCAGCTCCCCTGATTCATATACCCATTCATCTTACTAATGCCCCCACCCCCACTTTGAAAAATGCTCCATCGGCCCTGCCATTTAAATTCTGTTCAACTTAAAATCTCAAAAGCTGCTGGAATCTTAAGTAAAGTTAAGTTGTTTTTCCCTCGTGATATCTAATATCTACATTGTATATTTTATTATTTTACCTCATTTACTATATTGTAGTATTATTTGGGACTCTGATGATCCAAGTAATATCAAAGAAATACATAAAAAATGAATTGCAAGATTAATAACAAATTCTTATGATTTATGTCATCTGGGCCTTTATTTAAAAATCTTAATATATTAAATATCTGCGACCTTAATGAATATTTAATTTTGTCTCATGCGTAAATTCTGGGATAACAAATCCTTCAATCAGTAATGTTTTGTCGTGTAATAATCAATCAAAAGATACCATACTCGAAATCTTATTCCATTCTGAATCCTTACTAAAACTCAATTTTTTGTTAACTGTCAAGGTCCTATTCAATGGAATAAGCTCCCCAGAAATATAACAGAAATTAGAAATATTAACAAATTCAAGAGGGAACTAAAGAAACACTTAGGATAGAATAGGGCAAGGGGTAAGCCCCCATCGGTCTGGTCAAGCCCCCCCACACCGGCCAAAGCTCGTCGGGCATTCGGACCAAAAAAAAAAAAAAAATAGGCCTAGTTTTCCCCTCCCAGCCATTGCCGGCCATCTAGAAGTCCCAATTTTTAAAAAAAAATCTCATTTTAGGGAGGAGGGGACACCCCCTGCCATACCCACCCCTGGCTCTGGCCTTCAGCCCTCGGATAACGCTGCATGCTATAGTTACACCCATAAATACTTAGGGTCCCCCAGTCGGACATCTTAGCCTCCCCCCCCCCATAAATTATATCCTAGAGCCGCCACTTCCAGTGGGGTCCTTCTGGTGGTAATTGAGCAGTACGCCGGGAGACAATCCCCTACTCTTTTCCGAAGAGTGTACTGCGTTCTTTAATGTGCACATGGGTCATAAATGCACACAGGACTAACGGCTTGAACGTCTCATCCGAAAGACGCGCTATTGTAACTTGTATTTCAGCCCTCTAGCTGAAACACAAGGAGGCAGCGATGGGAATTGAACCGGGGACCTAGAGATCTCCCCAGTTCAGCGCACACACAGTGGCTACCACCAGATTAACCGACTGAGACTTTACGTCCAACTAGACCTATATATTATTAAGCCAATTAAGTTTTATTGTTTTACTTCTACTTCTGCTTCTTACTGTCATTTTTTGTCGTTGTAAATCAGGTTCAAGGGCTAGTTGAGACAAGTTTACTTCTAGGCTAGTCCCCATCAAAGCCCATTGTACATTTTGCCTATGTAAACCAAGTTAATTAGATCTTAATCATAAAATAATACTCGTGAATTATTGCTCTCTAATGCTTGGTATGCGAAACCAACTAAATTTTTGTTAAAATGCATTTTAATCTATTTGCAGATACGTGTAATTCTAATGAATATAGGTGCCCTACAGGTACTCTAACCTGCATTCCAGGGGCATTCGTGTGTGACACTTTTGTTGATTGCTCTGACGGATCAGAAGAGTCGACGTGTCTAAATCTAGAGCCATGGGACATTAAATCAATAGGTGAGTGATTCTGCAGCATCGTGTGATAATGGTTCGCAAATATTTAATTGATTAGATATTTTAATAATAATTTATGGGCCCGATTGATTTTACCAACTACAGTATAAGTGAACTTAAATTTGCCATCTTTAAAGCGGCTTGGAATGTGCCCCCTCACGTATAGGCATTCTACCGACTGAATGTGCTTTATTGAACCGTCAAGATTAGACTGGGTTCCTAAACCTTGTCTTAATCGGTAAAAATGCTTGATTTTGGCACCAATGGCATTCCATATTACATATTTGCTTGGTGTTCCATCGTATACTTTTTTCGCATCCAAATTCAACAACATAATTAAGTCTCTCAACATAAACCGACACCAGTGGTGCGCTCCGAATGTAGCAAATACTATGGAAAATCAATAGAGACTTGTGGCAAATCTACATCAAGATCTATTATCTACTCAAAAACTGTAGACACTAAATCAGAGGAATGGTAGGATAGAATGGATGGAAATTGTGTTGACAATGTCAAGATCATTATAAAAAAGAAGACATAAAGAAATAGACCTATTATTGAATCTACTGGACAGTTTAATTGTACATTGTAAGATACTATTGTTGGCAGCACCACTCTGTTTAAATTGTCATTAAAGTATCTCTAAATGCTTGTTTATATCTGCTTAACTTTCAGAAGAAGGGACTGAGATTATGCTGGCAATGGATCTGACCTATGGTGCAATATACGCAGGATCATTGGATAACCAAAGAGTTGATTTTCAGACTTTAATTTTCAACAGTACATTTTCATTTGCAGCAATTGATTACGATCCTGTTGAACAGAATATATACGTCACAGATATTGCTAGTGGTTTGATATTAGTGACGCCGCTCAATGGACAAAGTATTACTGTCCTCGTTAGTGAAAATGTCACAGGTAGGCTTCCAGGACACATAAGGGTCGTAACACCCACCCCCTATCTTAATATTCAATCTGTATCGTAATAGCCGTTCTCTATTATTTCTCTAAACATCTTTTCTCTGTTAGAATATTCAATTATACATATCCTATATTTAATCTAAAGCCTGGTTTTGAGTACAAGGAATTGACACCATATTTCCAGGCCAATAGGAATCACTCAATGTTATGAGTCAAAACAAAGCAACATACCCGAAAAGTTAATAAGGAAACTTGTTCACTGAACAACTATGTAAGATACGTGGTGATTTGGAGTTTTCTATTTTCACTACTTCTTCTGAAAAGAGTATAATTATTTCAAAAATGTTTTCTTTCAGCGCCAGAAGGGATTACTCTTGATCCAATATCTGGAACCATTTTTTGGACTGACAGTGCATTTGATGTTATTGAATCGATGCAGATGAATGGAAGCAATCGACGAGTTATTATTAGTTCTGGCCTTTCATCTCCAAGAGGAATTGTTGCGCTCATCACAAACAGGTAATGGTACCAACCCAAACATATTCCTCCATATGCCACTAGGTAAATAGCATTGATGGACTGGATAACATGCTTCTCTTACCCTCTATTCCTTGGCTAGTAATACTAATGATAATCAAAATTAGTAACTACTTTAATAGGCCATATTCGGTTGATCTAAACTAGTCAAAAATATTGGTGGCACATAAAATTTAACAATTGCAGTGTTGGGTGCAGGAAGAAATTTTTACAGGAGGAGGGTGAAGACCACCTCAACCCCAACATGGTTGGGACTGTGAATAAAAATTATTTTATAGCACCTTTAGATGGTCAGAAATGGCACTCTCAGAATTACATTTTCAATTTAATTTCCCCTTTTTTCCCATTTCGAAAAAAGTAGGTGGCCGGCTGGGGCACCCTTGAATACACCACTGATCTAAAATCAACACAGTAGGCCTAATCAATAATTACTCCTCTAAAAAACCGAATATTATTGAAGTGCACGCTGGCAGTTTTATTCTTCAAAAACATTAAGTCGGAAATTATTTTAAATTATTATTTTTAGTCTATTTATGCTTGGGCCCCTAATAGCCCTGGGCCTAGTGCTTTGCACTGTTCGTAGCTACGCCACCGAGGCAACTGATATTTCACTCGCATGCGTATAGTTGAATAGCACATTCTTGATGCACCACAGGGTCTCGGGAAAACAAAACTTGTTGCAATCATGGTACAATAGGTTATGCCAAAAAAGCACAATGTCGCAGCAAAGAGTGCAACATTTTTTTGTTAAAATTTATGTTATAAAAAGTATTTATGACTAAAAAAATTGTTTGCACACTCAATTGCAACATTATTATAATGTAAAATTGTAATAGCTGGTTATTCAATTTTGATCGCATGCCTTTCAGAAGAATAATAATTGTATTTAGAGCATAAATTCGAACATCGGAAATCGAGATAAGCAATTTTTTTATGGTAACGTTTAATGAGAATCTGACAATGAGGCACAATAGTAGTTCATGGCGGGTCATTGTTCCCTGTGTTAAACAGCAACTTGATTTGAATATTATTTCCTATGACTTACCAGCTGCTACATAAAAGCTATTACGTGAGCTAAAAAAAGTGTATAAGAGACAGATATATATGAGTCCTATATATATTATATAAATATTATTTTCATTTTTCATAGGACGCTGTTTTGGACAGATTGGGAAAATGATATGATTGAACGAAGTGACTATGATGGTCAGAATAGATTCAATTTGGGAAGCAGCGGTGGAAGGTGGTACAACAGTCTCACTCTAGATGTTGAAGGTTGAGATTATTTTTACATAATAAATAGCATCTGTGTCAGTTAACAAAATTGAAATGTTTTACATCGGACTAGTAATTTTGTTTAGTATTTAGGATAATAATAAATTTCATATAATATAAATATATGATAATAAATACTCTAGTAATACTGATACAAACTGATGATGATTATTATTGATTATTAGTTATATAATTAGTAATTTTGATGGTTTTTTACTCTAGGTGGTTGGCTTTACGCTGCAGTATCTTCAAATTCCTTGGATTCTATTATTCAAAGAATGGATTTTTGGGGAAATTTTAAACAACTGGTCTATAGCAGAGATATAGGTAGACCTTTTGATTTATATTATCATAAGGGTTATATCTATTACACTGACTGGGACCAAGATTCTGTGATGAAAGTTGAGGCAGTTAGGAATGCAGGATCTTCCGAGAATATTACTACTGATGTATTCCGACGCAGTAATTCTCAGGGAACAGGAATTCATATTCTTGTATATGAAGGTTTGTTATTAAAAATTAGTTATTATTATAATTACCCCGAGAGTTTGTTTTTAACATATACCACTAAAGAATGTTCTATTGATTGAACATGTAATATGACGAATTATGGTAAAATGATTATATGATATGTATGTATGATATTCAAATGAAGTTTGCAGTATAGTACCGTGAACATTTTGGACAAAAGAAAGAAAATTCAATAAAAGTTTGGTTGGAACTTTAATTCAGGTTGTAACCGTATCGTAAAACATCAACTAAGCCGAAGTTCTAGTTCGAAAACAAATTTCTGGGGCGGATGCAGGATTTGAAGAAATAGTACCTGTAATAGTACCTGTAGATGGCCGGAAATGACACATTATAATAGTAAAATTCATCATCATCACATCACTATATCATTATTATATAGTCAAAATGAAGCAGCAACAAATTTTTTCCAGATCTTTTTTTTTTTATTAGCGATTTTCGGCAACTCTAGAGATCTAAGTAGTATGTGTGATGAACCATAGAAAGTATAACTTAAAAACATTCTCTTTGATGTATTTACTTTTCCTACTTCAAAGCAGTGAGTCTACAACCACCTCTGCCCCACCATGGTTGGGGCTGAGGTGGGTTAGAAAATTAGAGGAAATAGTACCTTTAGATTGCCAGAAATGACACTTTTATATAGTAAAATTATTCATCATCACACCATCATGTCTAGATGAAGCGGCAGCAAATTTCTGACGATTTTTTATCAGGGATTTTTGGAAACCACAGCGATATATATAGTGATGTACCATAGAAAAAAAAAGTAAAGAAACACTTTCTTTGGTGTATTTAATTTATTTGACCTACCTCAAAGCTGTGTGGCCACATCCAGCTCAGGCCCACCATGATTGGGGCTGAGATGAGAAAATTTGAAGAAATAGTACCTCTAGATGGCTGGAAATGACACAAAATTCTTCATCATCACCAACATTATATAGTCAAAATGAAGCGCCAACAAATTCTCATAATCTTTCATCAGCTATTTTCGGCAACCACAGATATCAAATGTGTGATGTACGGTACCATAGAAAATACAAGTTAAAAACATGTCTTTGAGGTATTTACTTTACCTACTTCGAAACTGTGAGTCAACACGCATCTCAATTTTGAGAATATGGAGCTCTGGGTGCCAGGAAATTGCACTCTCATACCTTAAGAATCTTACCAATAATTCATATCAACAATATAATACAACAATTAATTTTCTTAATAGAATTTTTTTTGGGGGGGGGGGTGCAACCGCACCCTCTGCATCCGCCCCAGAATTTGTAATTGACGTTCAATAAATGTTGTGATCATTGTTGTCCGTATGGTGCTCTGCTTTAAATAGATTCTGAAAATTAGAAAACAAACCTTTCCGCTAAGCCACGCCCCTTGTTGCTAAGGTCCTGCAAGACGCGGTGTTAAAAGATACGAGAACATGGGCGCTTGTGGGACAACATGTGTGTTTGTGAGACGCGCATATATTCCTAGCACTGTTCTGATTGGTCAGTTGTTATGTTTGATTGACACTTTGGATTGCTCTATTAACCATCATGTCCATATTTCTATGGTCACACTAAGATGGTCAACGACTAGTATAAACAATTCAGTTGTTTTTTTTTATTTGTTTTTTTTTCAATTTATTTTATATTGTCCTGGTTTCAGATTACTCTTAAAGAGAAAGTCAAATACTGAGGGTTACAAACAATTCTTTATTGCAGCAGCGATCAGGTTAATGAAACCATTACTTAGATAGAATTTAAATAATAAATAAATAATAAAGGTCCAGGTAGTTGGATGATTCTTAATTTATTTTAAATGTTTTAGAGTTTTAGTATTTTGTTCTTAAAATTGTTAAAATTCATTCTTATAAATATTAAACTTTTAAAATATTTTATATATTTTTTATTCATTGTAAATTGTTTTTATATTTATGCCATGACTAACTGAAGTTCTTCCTTGGATAATAAAGTATTTTTGAATTTGAATTTGAATGTAGATATTAAACATATGTATGTTGCAATGCCTGAATACATTAACACAACAACTGCTATGCATGTAGTTGTGCTAATTTCTATATTTAATTTTCTATTTTAAATGTAATTCCTCCTTGGATAATAAAGTATTTTTGAATTTGAATTAGAATGTAGATACTGAACAACGTATGTTACAATACATTGAATACATTAACACAACTTCTATGCATGTAGTTGTGCTAATTTCTATGTTTAATTTGCTATTTTAAATGTTTTTATGAGTTTTAGTATTTTGTTCTTACAAATTTTTTAAATTCGTTTTTATAAATCATTTATACATGTTTTAACTTTTTAAATATTTAATATTATTATCTTTTATTCATTGTAAATTTGAATTTGAATATAGATAATGAACAAACAGTTCTCCTTGGATACTATAGTATATTTGAATGTAGATACTGAACAACGTATGTTGCAATACCTTGAATAAATTAGCACAACAACTTCTATGCATGTAGTTGTGCTAATTTCTATATTTAATTTGCTATTTTAAATGTTTTTACGAGTTTTAGTATTTTTTTCTTAAAAATTGTTAAAATTTGTTTTTATAAATCATTTATACATGTTTTAACTTTTAAAATATTTAATATATTATTCATTGTAAATTTGAATTTGAATGTAGATATTGAACAACCTATGTTGCAATGCCCTGAAAACATTAGCACAACAACTGATCCCAGTCAGCCATATTCAACTGTATATTGGAATGTATCAGCAAGTGACAATTCAGGGAGTGTGACATGGAATTGTAGCAGAGTATCTGGTGACATGTTTGAAGCCATCTGGCCACGTGAACCACATAGAGTATTTTGCAAAGCGGAAGATGCGTCTGGCAATACTGCAGAATGTTCTTTCTTTATCACTGTAGATGGTATGTCATATAGCCTAGTTTGAATGTATAGCCTATGCTTGCATGACTTCTCACTTCATACTATCTGGCTTTGTCTACCCTCACTCACTCGCCACTGAGGAAGGACGTGTTGTCCGAAAGCTCTGGTTCTATTTGTGGCCGTTTACTCCATTTACATATATTAGCTATTGCTTATCAAATGTGTATCTTTACCGAAATCCAGTCATTGTTTCCCAAAGAAGCCTCTTTTTTCATACAACTATAATAAGGAACATTGATTAGATTATTTAATTAATTTTATGTCTCTATTATGTCAATGTATGCTATTGTTTTATTTTTGTATTTGCTTATATTTATATATTTCTGTGAGACATGTGGAACCAACTACATCTAACATTTGCTTGATTAGATGAAGAAAGTCCAACTGTTTCATGTCCAAGCAACTTCGATGTACCAACTGATGATGGGTCAGCTTCGGCGGTGGTTTACTGGTTAGTCAATGTGACAGAAAATACAGATTACGAAGTATCAGTGTTTTTCTCACACGAATCAGGAGAGTCATTTTTTGTTGGTACATCAACAGTAACATATCTCATTATAGACAGATTTGATAATAGAAATGACTGTATATTCACAGTAACAGTTAGAGGTACGCTTTATGTTTCAATGTTTTAGTGTAGCATTATAAAATACATAAAAAAATATATATTGTTCACATTCGGATTCGAACCCAGGACCTTCTGATTATCGTTCAGATACTCCATCAACTGATCTATGAGGCCAAGTGGTATGAACCCTTTGGTTTTCTTGTTAACACATGTTTTTTTATTAATGTATTGCATATCGAGGATGTCTGGTATACTACAACATAGGCCTATTCTTTATTAAACACATACATGCACATATACAAATTATTTGTATAGTAATTTTTAATTAAAATATTATGTTTTCATGTAGATAATGAACAACCTATGTTGCAATGTCCTGATGACATTGATGTAGTATTAACTGATCCGGGTCAGCCATATTCGACTATATATTGGAATGTATCAGTAAGTGACAATTCTGGAAGTGTGACATGGAATTGTAGCCAAGAAACTGGTCATAGGTTTCACGTCATCTGGCCAATTGAACGACAGAATGTAACATGCGAAGCAGAGGATGCGTATGAAAATGCTGCAGAATGTGTATTTTTTGTTAAAGTGTATGGTATGTAAAAAAGAATAAACAGCATATTAACTATTACTTTCACATGGATTATTCTTTTTCATATGCATGTAGTTGTGCTAATTTCTATATCTCATTTGCTTGCTGTTTTATAATGTGTTTAACAAAAAATATGCCTACCATTTGTTAATATTGTTGGTATCTTACTTACTTGTTGAGCTATTGTATTTGTCATGTCACCAACTGAAGGCTTGTGTTACATTTTGGTGAACATTGTTGTATTTTGCAATACTGTAAATTTAATGATAAATATTAATTGCATGGCCTACAGTAGATCTTCAGTTTATTAAATGCTACCAGCCTTGTAAATAACAAGTTTTGTTCCATATGCTTTTATTAAATTATAAAATGTGTTTGTTGCTGCTTTTAAATGAAATTTAGAAAATGCTATTTCGGAAGATAACGATGTCAGTTTTTATTTTTTTAAATATCAACTCTATGCAGGAACAAGCTCACATTATTTGCTGTATTATGTAAAGATGTTTAAAACATTGTATTCACTATCAAATTGTACTAATTAGTGTGATCTGATTATTTTGTAAGTACAGTATTTTAGAAGTTGTTGAACTCTTACACGTCCTAGGATTAAAAAAAGCATGCGTCTTTAAAATCTTCATTACACAATTAAATATAGCAGCAGTCTACGGAAGCTATTACAGTTTGTTCAGTTCGGTAGACAGTACAGGGACTCTATATACTGTAGTATATTATATATAACAAACAAATATAGTTGTTTGAGAGTAAATGTGAATTGTTTTTAATTCATTTGTATGAATGGGGGACTGTTCCATTTTCACTCGCCTTTTGGAATAGTTGTCCATAATAAAATTTTATAATTGATAACAATTCACATTTTTTCAAACATTCTATATTTGTGTTGTATATTACATTTTAAATACGATTCAAGACAGAAGAAAACAATTGTTCAAAATGTGGCGTTAATCAATATATTTCTCATGAGTGCGATTTGTGTTGAATTCTTCAAAGTTGATGTGTGCTTTTGTGGGTATAAGTGGGGATGAAAGAATGATGAAATTACATTAAAAAATTTGAATTTGTTTACTTCTTTTAATTTGTTTGCATCATGCGCTCGCGAAGCTGAGGATGTGCATGGCAATACTGCAGAATGTGTATTTTATATTACTGTAATTGTGGCAGAGTTTATTCATAACTTATTTGTTAGACTAATCTTCATACTATAGCTGTTATTGTATATGTCTTTTTTTCTTATATAGCTGTTTGTTACAGCATTTGGCTAATAATTATTATGACTCCATTGTATTTAAAAATGTATCATATTAGAGGATGCGTCTTTAAAATCTAAATTACACAATTAAATATAACAGCAGTCTACAAAAGTTATTACAGTTTTTTAGTTTGGTAGATAGTACAGGGACTTTTTTTAGTTCACAAATATTGTTGTTTGAGAAAAAAAAATTGTTTTGAATTTATAACTAGTGTATATGATTGGAGGACTGTTCCATTTTCACTCGCCTTTTGGAATAGTTGTCCATAATATCACTTTATAATTGATAACAATTCACATTTTCTCAAACATTCAATTTGTGTGTTGTATATCCTATTTCAAATACGAGGCAGAAAAAAATATTTGGAAATTGCTTTTAAAATGTCACGTAAACAAATATATTGCTTGTGATAGTGATTTTTGTTGAATTATTTAATGTGCGATGTTTCTGTAGGTATAAGTAGGAAAGAATGGATTATAAATTGACGTTTTGCAATTTTAACACTTCATTTTTTTGTAATTTCTATTTAACTTTTAATATAATTAAATTGTTCATGTTTTCTTGGATTATTGATAATTAAATTATATAAGTTCCATAATTGTATAGCCAGGACAATACAAGGGTCCCACAAATTCAAAGGAAGTAAATAAATGTTTAAAATGATTCAAACAAGCAACCTTACGTAAGTATATGCTGTAGCATCAATATCCCAGGGACATGGTTTAGTGGAACAGTCTATTCTGAGCCGGATATTTTTGCCAAGTGGTATTTAAACCAACGAAGAAGTCAGTAGACATCAATACTGCTGTTAATGTTAACCTCTCATTGTCTTTTTCTGAAGTATCACTATATTATTCGCATATTTTGGTTGTTATGGTGTCAGGGTTATTGCATCAAGCTACTCTTCTCTTGCAGTCAGCAGCCACTATTCTTTACTCATTGATCATTTTCTTAAGAATAATCCTATTCGCCTCTTGCTAATAGACCTATTTGTTGTTTTTGACACACTTATTCAGCTAGAATGTAACGCCTTCATCTAGCAGACTGTAATAACTACTACAGTCACTTTTTCTTTCTTGCTTTGTTACCTTTGGTCTAAAGATAGGCATACTGTTTGCCATGCATTGCTATATTATGGTACGTTAAATACATTATAACATTAACTTGGTTGGCTTAAAGAGTTGATCAACATTAAATTGACTGTGTCGTTATTGATTATATATCACTTTAGATAAGGAACATCCAAGTGTTTTGTGTCCAAGTAGCATTGATGTACCTAATGATGATGGGTCAGCGGTAGCAGTGGTCAGCTGGTCAGTCAATGTCACAGACAACACAGATTCTCTATATGAAGTAATAGTGTCAGGCTCTGGTACAGAGTATAACAAATCTGGACACGCATTTCCTGTTGGCATCACAACATTAGACTATGTTGTTACAGATGCATTTGGTAACGCAGACAACTGTTCCTTCACAGTAACTGTCAGTGGTAAGGATGTTATATCCAATGTTTCATTAGAATATTTTACGATAAAGCAACATCTACAGTTTGAAAAAAACCAGTAGGTTCACTGATAAGTTTAAGATAACTTAGTATAAAACATACTCAAAATAAAGTGAGACTAGTCATACTATACTCGAAATATTGAATCAAAATGACTAGTCTCACTTTATTTGGAGTATGTTTTATACTAAGTTACAGTTTGACATATGTTTGGAAATTATTTAAAATCCAGTGTATCAACAAATGAAACAAGTGTGAAAGGCTGCCAATATTTTAATGATATTTTAAAATGTTATATATTATGTAGATACTGAAGAACCTATGTTACAATGTCCCGATGATATTGATGTAGCATTAACCAATCCGGGTCAGCCATATTCGACTGTATATTGGAATGTATCAGTAAGTGACAATTCAGGGAGTGTGACATGGAATTGTAGCAGAGTATCTGGTGACAGGTTTGACGTCATCTGGCCAATTGAACGACAGAATGTATCATGCGTAGCTGAGGATGTGCATGGCAATACTGCAGAATGTGTATTTTATGTTACTGTAATTGGTAAGCAGATTTTTATCATAATAAAAATGTATTTGAACAATTCTAATAGCTGTTATTTTGTAGACTAATCTTTTTTTATGTTTTGATATAGTCATATCTAGTTGTGTTACAGCGTTTGGTCAATAATTAATATACGTTAATGTAATAGGAAAATTCTGAGCGATTATAATACGTCTTTCACTTCTGTTGATGTTCAGATGAAGAAAATCCAAGTATTTTGTGCCCAAGTAACGTTGATGTCCCTACTGATGATGGATCTGCCGTAGCAGTGGTCAGCTGGTCAGTCAACTACTCAGACAACACAGATTCTATATATGACCTAGTATTGTCAGGTTCTATTACAGAGTACTTTTTTGATGCACTTGGATATGCGTTTCCCGTTGGCACGACAACATTAAACTATGTTATTACAGACGTATTTGGAAACACAGACAACTGTTCCTTCACAATAACTGTCCGAGGTAAAGGGGTTATACAATTTTGTTTATACATTACGACAAAGTCAACATCTGCAGTTTGGTATGTTTGAAAACGATTAGAATCTATTACAAATAAGAGCACTATCAACAGTTTATGACATTTTGAAATGTTACACATTTTGCAGATACTGGAGAACCTATGTTACAATGTCCCGATGATATTGATGTAGCATTAACTGATCCAGGTCAACCATATTCGACTGTATATTGGAATGTATCAGTAAGTGACAATTCTGGAAGTGTGACATGGAATTGTAGCAGAGTATCTGGTGACATGTTTGACGTCATTTGGCCAATTGAACGACAGAATGTATCATGCGAAGCTGAGGATGTGCATGGCAATACTGCAGAATGTGTATTTTATATTACTGTAATTGGTATGCAGAATTTATTCATATTAAAAATATATTTAAACAATTTTAATAGCTGTTTTTTTTATAGGCCTACCATTTTATATTCTTACATATTCATATCTAGTTTTCATTACAGCGTTTGGCCAATAATGATTCTACATTATTGTAATAGAAAAAATTTGAACGATTATAATATTCTTACACTTCTGTTGATTTTCAGATGAAGAAAATCCAAGTATTTCATGTCCAAGTAGCGTTGATGTACCTAATGATGATGGGTCAGCGGTAGCAGTGGTCAGCTGGTCAGTCAATGTCACAGACAACACAGATTCTCTATATGAAGTAATAGTGTCAGGCTCTGGTACAGAGTATAACAAATCTGGACACGCATTTCCTGTTGGCATCACAACATTAGACTATGTTGTTACAGATGCATTTGGTAACGCAGACAACTGTTCCTTCACAGTAACTGTCAGTGGTAAGGATGTTATATACAATGTTTCATTAGAATATTTTACGATAAAGCAACATCTACAGTTTGAAAAAAACCAGTAGGTTCACTGATAAGTTTAAGATAACTTAGTATAAAACATACTCAAAATAAAGTGAGACTAGTCATACTATACTCGAAATATTGAATCAAAATGACTAGTCTCACTTTATTTGGAGTATGTTTTATACTAAGTTACAGTTTGACATATGTTTGGAAATTATTTAAAATCCAGTGTATCAACAAATGAAACAAGTGTGAAAGGCTGCCAATATTTTAATGATATTTTAAAATGTTATATATTATGTAGATACTGAAGAACCTATGTTACAATGTCCCGATGATATTGATGTAGCATTAACCAATCCGGGTCAACCATATTCGACTGTATATTGGAATGTATCAGTAAGTGACAATTCAGGGAGTGTGACATGGAATTGTAGCAGAGTATCTGGTGACAGGTTTGATGTCATCTGGCCAATTGAACGACAGAATGTATCATGCGTAGCTGAGGATGTGCATCGCAATACTGCAGAATGTGTATTTTATGTTACTGTAATTGGTAAGCAGATTTTTATCATAATAAAAATGTATTTGAACAATTCTAATAGCTGTTATTTTGTAGACTAATCTTTTTTTATGTTTTGATATAGTCATATCTAGTTGTGTTACAGCGTTTGGTCAATAATTAATATACGTTAATGTAATAGGAAAATTCTGAGCAATTATAATACGTCTTACACTTCTGTTGATGTTCAGATGAAGAAAATCCAAGTATTTTGTGCCCAAGTAACGTTGATGTCCCTACTGATGATGGATCTGCCGTAGCAGTGGTCAGCTGGTCAGTCAACTACTCAGACAACACAGATTCTATATATGACCTAGTATTGTCAGGTTCTAATACAGAGTACTTTTTTGATGCACTTGGATATGCGTTTCCCGTTGGCACGACAACATTAAACTATGTTATTACAGACGTATTTGGAAACACAGACAACTGTTCCTTCACAATAACTGTCCGAGGTAAAGGGGTTATACAATTTTGTTTATACATTACGACAAAGTCAACATCTGCAGTTTGGTATGTTTGAAAACGATTAGAATCTATTACAAATTAGAGCACTATCAACAGTTTATGACATTTTGAAATGTTACACATTTTGCAGATACTGGAGAACCTATGTTACAATGTCCTGATGATATTGATGTAGCATTAACTGATCCAGGTCAGCCATATTCGACTGTATATTGGAATGTATCAGTAAGTGACAATTCTGGAAGTGTGACATGGAATTGTAGCAGAGTATCTGGTGACATGTTTGACGTCATTTGGCCAATTGAACGACAGAATGTATCATGCGAAGCTGAGGATGTGCATGGCAATACTGCAGAATGTGTATTTTATATTACTGTAATCGGTAGGCAGAGTTTATTAATAGTAAAAATATATTTAAACAATCTTAATAGCTGTTTTTTTTATAGGCCTACCATTTTATCTGTACATAGTCATATCTAGTTTGCATTACAGTGTTTGGCCAATAATGATTCTACATTATTGTAATAGAAAAATTCTGAGCGATTATAATATTCTTACACTTCTGTTGATTTTCAGATGAAGAAAATCCAAGTGTTTCGTGCCCAAGTAGCATTGATGTACCTAATGATGATGGGTCAGCCGTAGCAGTGGTCAGCTGGTCTGTCAACGTCACGGACAACACAGATTCTATATATGAAGTAATAGTGTCAGGCTCTGGTACAGAGTACAACGAATTTGGACAAGCATTCCCTGTTGGCATGACAACATTATACTATGTTGTTACAGATGCATTTGGTAACAGAGACAACTGTTCCTTCACAATAACTGTCCGAGGTAAAGGGGTTATACAATTTTGTTTATACATTACGACAAAGTCAACATCTGCAGTTCTGTATGTTTGGAAACGATTAGAATCTATAAACATTATAAACAAATTTGAGCACTATTAACAGTTAAATGGCATTTTAAAATGTTACATCTTTTGTAGATACTGGAGAACCCATGTTACAATGTCCCAATGACATTAATTTAGCATTAACTGATCCGGGTCAGCCATATTCGACTGTATATTGGAATGTATCAGTCAGTGACAATTCAGGGAGTGTGACATGGAATTGTAGCAGAGTATCTGGTGACAGGTTTGATGTCATTTGGCCAACTGAGCGACAGAATGTATCATGCGAAGCTGAGGATGTGCATGGCAATACTGCAGAATGTGTATTTTATGTTACTGTAATCGGTAGGCCATTTTTTTAATCTTAATTTATTGGAATATAATTTATAAGGTTTTGTTTTACATATTACAATTGATTAGAAATATTGTATAAAGCGATAATTGGTCAAACACTGAACATAATAGTAAATACAACTAAATATGTCTAGGCCTATAAGAAAATATTAGTTTCCTTATATAGTCATTTAGTTTTATTTACTATTGTTAATGTTTGACTAATTATCATTTTACAATATTAATAGAATATTCTAATTGATTATAATATATCTTAATCTTGTTTTTATATTGTTCTTTAGATAAAGAAACTCCGAGTATTTCATGTCCAAGTAACATTGATGTATCCACTGATGATGGGTCGGCTGTAGCACTAGTGAGTTGGTTAGTGAACGTCACAGACAACTCAGGTTCTATATATGAAGTAATAGTTTCAGGTTCAGGTACCGAGTACAACAAATCTGAACATGCGTTTCCTGTTGGCATCACAGCATTAGACTATGTTGCTACAGATGCATTCGGTAACGCAGACAACTGTTCCTTCACAGTAACTGTCAGAGGTAAGGGGTTATCAGGATAATATTTTACTAGCGTACTTTACAACAAATCAACCTCTATACATTGGTTATGTTTAAAAGTGGTTTTAAATTTTTAAACATATGAAACACGGTAGACTTTCAGCAGTTTAATGACATTCTAATATGTTATATTTTATGCAGATATCGGAGAACCCATGTTACAATGTCCCAATGACATTAATTTAGCATTAACTGATCCGGGTCAGCCATATTCGACTGTATATTGGAATGTATCAGTAAGTGACAATTCAGGGATTGTGACATGGAATTGTAGCAGAGTATCTGGTAACATATTTGACGTCATCTGGCCAATTGAACGACAGAATGTATCATGCGAAGCTGAGGATGCCCATGGCAATACTGCAGAATGTGTATTTTATATTACTGTAATTGGTAGGCAGAATTAATTCATAACAAGAATGTATTTGAACAATCATAATAGATGTTATTGTATAGGTCTACCTTTTTATTTTCTTATATAGTCATATCTAGTTGTATTTTAAGGTTTGCCTAATAATTATTATACAATAATATAGTAGAATAATTCTTAGCAATTATAATACGTTTTACTCTTTTGTTGGTTTTCAGATGAAGAAAATCCAAGTGTTTCATGTCCAAGAAGCATTGGTGTACCTAATGATGATGGATCAGCCGTAGCAGTGGTCAGCTGGTCAGTCAATGTCACCGACAACACAGATTCTATATATGAAGTAATAGTGTCAGGCTCTGGTACAGAGTACAACGAATCTGGACAAGCATTTCCTGTTGGCATGACAACTTTAGACTATGTTGTTACAGACGCATTTGGAAACACAGAAAACTGTTCCTTCACAATAACTGTCCAAGGTAGGGGGTTAATACAAGTCAATATATAATATAAAAGTACAAATAAAAGGCATACATCTCCAGTTTGATATGTTTGGAAACGATTTGAATCTACAAAAATATGAAATAAAGAGTTGAACTATCAACAGTTTAATGACATTTTGAAATGTTACATCTTTTGTAGATACTGGAGAACCTATGTTGCAATGTCCCAATGACATTGATGTAGCATTAACTGATCCGGATCAGCCTTATTCGACTGTATATTGGAATGTATCAGTAAGTGACAACTCAGGGAGTGTGACATGGAATTGTAGCAAAATATCTGGTGACAGGTTTGACGTCATCTGGCCAACTGAACGACAGAATGTATCTTGTGAGGCTGAGGATGCGCATGACAATACTGCAGAATGTGTATTTTATGTTACTGTAATCGGTATGCCATTTTTTTAATAACCTTGATTTATTGGAATATAATTTATAAGGTTTTATTTTACATATTATAATTGATTAGAAATATTGTATTTTGATATTGTATAAAATGATAATTGGTCAAACACTGAACATAATAGTAAATACAACTAAATATGACTAGGCCTATAAGAAAATATTAGTTTTCTTATATAGTCATTTAGTTTTATTTACTATTGTTAATGCTTGACCAGATATCATTTTACAATATTAATAGAGTATTCTAATCGATTATAATATATCTTAATCTTGTTTTTATATTGTTCTTTAGATAAAGAAACTCCGAGTATTTCATGTCCAAGTAATATTGATGTATCCACTGATGATGGGTCGGCTGTAGCACTAGTGAATTGGTTAGTGAATGTCACAGACAACTCAGGTTCTATATATGAAGTGACAGTTTCTGGATCAGGTACAGAGTACAACGAATCTGAACACGCGTTTCCTGTTGGCATCACAGCATTAGACTATGTTGCTACAGATGCATTTGGTAACACAGACAACTGTTCCTTCACAGTAACTGTCAGAGGTAAGGGGTTATCAAGATAATATTTTACTATAGTCCTTTACAACAGAGCAACATCTATACGTTCGTTGTGTTTGAAAATGGTTTGAAATTTTTTAACATATGAAACACGCTAGACTTTCAGTAGTTTAATGACATTCTAATATGTTATATTTTATGCAGATACCGGAGAACCCATGTTAAAATGTCCCAATGATATTAATTTAGCATTAACTGATCCGGGTCAGCCATATTCAACTGTATATTGGAATGTATCAGTAAGTGACAATTCAGGGAGTGTGACATGGAATTGTAGCAGAGTATCTGGTGACAGGTTTGACGTCATTTGGCCAATTGAACGACAGAATGTATCATGCGTAGCTGAGGATGTGCATGGCAATACTGCAGAATGTGTATTTTATATTACTGTAATTGGTAGGCAGAATTAATTTATAACAAGAATGTATTTGAAAAATCATAATAGCTGTTATTGTATAGGCCTACCTTTTTATATCCCTATATAGTCATATCTTAGTTGTACAGTATTTTAGGGTTTGTCTAATAATTATTATACAATAATATAGTAGAATAATTCTTAGCAATTATAATACGTCTTACACTTCTATTGGTTTTCAGATGAAGAAAATCCAAGTATTTCGTGTCCAAGAAGCGTTGATGTACCTAATGATGACGGGTCAGCCGTAGCAGTGGTCAGCTGGTCAGTTAACATCACAGACAACACAAATTATATATATGAATTAATATTGTCAGGCTCTGGTACAGAGTACAACGAATCTGGACAAGCATTTCCTGTTGGCATGACAACTTTAGACTATGTTGTTACAGACGCATTTGGAAACATAGAAAACTGTTCCTTCACAGTAACTGTCCGAGGTAGGGGGTTAATACAAGTCAATATTTTATTAAGTACATTACGACAAAGGCATACATCTTCAGTTTGATATGCTTGAAAACGATTTGGATATACAAACCTATGAAATAAAGCAGTAAACTATTAATAATTTAATGACTTTTTGAAATGTTACATCTTTTGTAGATACTGGAGAACCTATGTTACAATGTCCCAATGACATTGATGTAGCATTAACTGATCCGGGTCAGCCATATTCTACTGTATATTGGAATGTATCAGTAAGTGACAATTCTGGGAGTGTGACATGGAATTGTAGCAGAGTATCTGGTGACAGGTTTGACGTCATTTGGCCAATTGAACGACAGAATGTATCATGCGAAGCAGAGGATGTGCATGGCAATACTGCAAAATGCGTATTTTATGTTACTGTAATCGGTAGGTCATTTTTTAAAATAATCTTGATTTATTGGAATATAATTTATAATGTTTTATTTTACATATTATAATTGATTAGAGATATTGCATTTTAATATGTATAAATGATAATTTGTCAAACACTGAACATAATAGTAAATACATCTAAATATGACTATAAGAAAATAACAATTTTCTTATATAATCATTTTGTTTTATTTATTATTATGTTAATGTTTGACTAATTATCATTTTACAATATTAATTGAATTTTCTAATTGATTATAATATATCTTACTCTTGTGTTTATATTGATCTTTAGATAAAGAAAATCCGAGTATTTCATGTCCAAGTAACATTGATGTATCCACTGATGATGGGTCGGCTGTAGCACTAGTGAGTTGGTTAGTGAACGTCACAGACAACTCGGGTTCTATATATGAAGTGACAGATTCTGGATCAGGTACCGACTACAACAAATCTGGACACGTGTTTCCTATTGGCATGACAACATTAGACTATGTTGCTACAGATGCATTTGGTAACACAGACAACTGTTCCTTCACAGTAACTGTCAGAGGTAAGGGGTTATCAAGATAATATTTTATTAGAGCACTTTACAACAAAGCAACGTCTATACGTTGATTATGCTTGAAAATGGTTGAAATTTTTAAACATATGAAACACGGTAGACTTTTAGCAGTTTAATGACATTCTAATATGTTATATCTTATGCAGATACTGGAAAACCCATGTTACAGTGTCCCAATGACATTAATTTAGCATTAACTGATCCAGGTCAGCCATATTCAACTGTATATTGGAATGTATCAGTGAGTGACAATTCAGGGAGTGTGACATGGAATTGTAGCAGAGTATCTGGTGACAGGTTTGACGTCATTTGGCCAATTGAACGACAGAATGTATCATGCGAAGCTGAGGATGTGCATGGCAATACTGCAGAATGTGTATTTTATGTTACTGTAATTGGTAGGCGAATTTATTCATAACAAGAATGTATTTGAACAATCATAATGGTTGTTATAAGACAATCGTGACGTCATCACTTTAACTCCCAATGTTATTTGCCTATTCCCCAGCGTCGACTAATTTTTCTATTAGTGGATGCTTGGCTTGATGATTTTTTTTAGGTTCATGTGCAAAAAAAATTCCTCATTTTTTCGTCACCGCGAATATATCGTGCACCGCGATAAAAATTGAATTGTAATTGAAAATTACTTCCGTAAAACAAGCTTAATTAGAACCCGAAGAAAGTTACTTCAAATTCAATGTTAATTATGAACAATTAAGGAATTCATTAAATCAATGGACCCTCATAAACACAACAAACTGAACGTTTAATATGAATATTCTAGACCTATTTTAATGACTCAAGGAACAAATTTAGATGTAGGCCTACGGCCGTGCAGGAGCCCGCCCGGGCCTCCTCCTACTACTACTACTACTACTAGGCCGCAGCCTAGCCTAGTTATGAAATCATCGCACGATTTTACCTGTCTGCATGCACCGATCAAAAAGGATGTCAGTGACGTATTCCTTCTCGAATGCTGAAATGTTTATTTCTTTGACGAAAGTATATCAAAATGGAATTACAAACAAGTTATTTCTAATTACACAAGTAGTTATTAATTGTATCCGTACTCCTGTACTGCTGATGTGTAGCAGTGTGTAGTTAATTAATTAAATGCGTACTGCAGGAGCAAAAATCAGCATAATCATAGCTAAATGTAAATATGCACACGTATACTGATCATATCAATATAGCAACCGATGACTGCTACAACAGTTTGTTATAAAAAACTAAAATTAACAGACGGCGATTGACTTATAAAGCAATTATTAGAGCATGCATCGTACACTAAATGGAAAATTATTATACTTAGGTTAGATTTAATGCATTCAAAAATTTTCTTCGGGCCTTGCAGGCCCGCAGGAAATTTTTTCAAGCTTTAAATCTAACCTTCGTATAATAATTTTCCTAAAGTGTACAATGCGGAGCTCTACTAATTGCTTGTTATTGTATAGGCCTACCTTTTTATTTTCTTATATAGTCATATCTAGTTGTATTTTAGGGTTTCCCTAATAATTATACAATAATATAGTAGAATAATTCTTAGCAATTATGATACAATATACTCTTCTGTTGGTTTTCAGATGAAGAAGATCCAAGTATTTCGTGTCCAAGAAGCGTTGATGTACCTAATGATGATGGATCAGCCGTAGCAGTGGTGAGCTGGTCAGTTAACATCACAGACAACACAAATTATATATATGATTTAATATTGTCAGGCTCTGGTACAGAGTACAATGAAACTGGACAAGCATTTCCTGTTGGCATGACAACATTATACTATGTTGTTACAGACGCATTTGGAAACACAGAAAACTGTTCCTTCACAGTAACTGTCCGAGGTAGGGGGTTATACAATTTTTTATTAATATACTTTACGAAAAACCAACATCTGCAGTTTGATATATGTTTGAAAAATATTTTAATCTATGAACATATAAACAGAGCGGAAGCCTATCAGCAGTTTAACAACATTTAAAATGTTATATCTTATGCAGATACTGGAGAACCCATGTTACAATGTCCAGCTGACATTAATGAAGCACTAACTGATCCAGGTCAGCCATATTCGACTGTATATTGGAATGTATCAGTAAGTGACAATTCAGGAAGTGTGACATGGAATTGTAGCAGAGTATCTGGTGACAGGTTTGACGTCATCTGGCCAATTGAACGACAGAATGTATCATGCGAAGCTGAGGATGCGCAAGGCAATACTGCAGAATGTGTATTTTATATTATATTAGTTGGTATGAATGATTGATTTATATTTTAGTTAAAGTGTTTCTATAACTATAGTATTATACAAAGTATTATGCATATTATTATTCTTATTGTTATTAGTATTTGTTGCTGTTATTATTGGTGATCCGCAACTCTTGCGGATCACCTCTTCTTATTGTCAGGATCTTTTTTTTCTTTTTTTTCTTCTTTCTTTCTCCCCATTTCTTGTTGGCACGATATCTCAAAAAATGCCACGAGTTATGCACAATCGCTGTCAACGAACATTTGGTTTGGTCTGGATTAGTCAATGTGAGCATGTTAATGTGCTCAGTCATGCGTGACGTCATCTACGTGTAATTTTGCGTTTTTAATAACGTGTTACATAATCGAACATATCCTAACCAATTGCCATTTCGAAATCATATTCAGTGAGCATAAAGTTCAGGTCAAGGTTGAATGTCACTTGTCTTAATTTTATGAGTGCACGTCATAACGTGCGCATACGCGTGCGTCAAAATTTTAAAATGCTCAAAATAACTTTTTGACTAAATTAGAGCACGCTTTAGGCCATTCTGAGCATTTCAACATTTTTCAAATTGTTGGCACTGCGCGCATTTTTACGCGCGCGCACACGTACAGAAACTGGAATTAACGTTTTTTTTACATGTTTTAGGTTTCTGACACTGTATTCAGAAAGTTCCATCTGTTTTGGTCATCTTAGGGTCAATGGCAATGCCGTACGCGCGCATAGAACATACAAATCCTTGTGCGCGTTTTTGTCGACATACAGCTAAAATAGGCCAAAATCATGCCTATTTTCAATCAGTTATAGCTCCTTAGGATGATCAGTGACCCCCAATTTTTACTATATATTCTGAAAGTACATAAATTGTAGATATGATTTTATTGATCATAATGGCTGATCGGACATTGTGACGTCTTCATATTGGCATCTGAATTCAAAGATCGATCGTCTTCCAACTTTAAGTATGTTATAGTTGAGACAATTCTCTTTCATATATGTGACTTCTTTTTACATTTTGATGACGTCATCATGGTAAAAAAATTTGTTTTTTTTTACCCCTGCCCACATCTTTCTTTCCTTAAACGTTGATGAGCCCATATCATCTTAACCATTTGTCAATTTCTGAATCATATCAAGTGAGCATAATCTTCAGGTCAAGGTTAAATGTCAGGTACCTTAATTTTCCGTTGGAGCGAATTAACGTGCGCGTACGCGTGCGTCAACAATTATGAATACTTAAAATTATGCCTAATTTTAATCAGTTATAGCTCCTTAGGATGAAA